CTTTAATTGGCTTCCTCTCCATCCCTTCAGTTTCTACAGCTTGACTTTACTATTAGTTCTGTTAGTCCTGAAATAGGATGGGCAGTGCAAACATTTGCATACCAATTTACATTTTCAGTGATATTTAGTTATATTTTGGAGAAAGAGTACAAAGGAGAGCTGGGGGTATAGCTCAGTCAATAGAGTGCTTGCCTTGCATGCACAAGACCCTGGGTTCAATCCCCAGCACCACACATACACACACACACACACACATAAATAGTACATGGGAAAAACATCTCACTGACTGACTGTGAGGCTGACTAAAGTCAATCATCAGAAAATAACCTTTATCTACTCAGCTCCATGTTGGTAGAGCTGGGATGAAGAAACCAAGTGTGTGTGCAGCCCAGCCCAGCCTCCTCTTAGCCTTTCTCCAGAAGCCCCTCGCCAAGCATGCACTCAGAAGATTGTCATTGTAAATGATCAACCAAATAAGTGCCCATGAGGATGGGTTACAGATCTTCTTACCAGAAAGAAATTTTATGGAACTATATCCATTTAAATAGCAGGTTAGATGCAAGAGTTTTTCAAAGGCTAACCTGGCAAACTCCTGATTATATAATATTGAAGATAATAAGATGATCATATTTCATTGCAAAACCACTGCCACCACATTCACATATATTAATGTGTATTCCATGCATAATAATCTTTCACCAACGACATTTTACTAAATGCATGATTTACAGTAATATCAGCACAATTTAAAAAAAATTCAAATAATGGTATAATGGGCACACCCCACATTTTTGCAAAAAAAAACTTTGACATAAAATCTGCCACAATTGCCCAGTGTGGTGGCACATGCCTATAATCCCAGTGGCTTGGGAGGCTGAGACAGGATGATCATGAGTTCAAAGCCAGCCTAAGCAACAGTGAGGTGCTAAGTAACTCAGTGAGACCCTGTCTCTAAAGAAAAAATACAAAATAGATCTGGGGATGTGGCTGAGTACCTCTAAATTCAATCCCTGGTACCTACCCACCCCTCAAAAAAATCTGTCACAATTATGTAATGAAATACAGGTTTACATAAATAAAATCTTTAGAAGCTCAAAGCCTTTATCATTTTAAGCTGAAATTTCTACTTTAAACATTTTTTAAAATGTGGATAAAAATAACTCAGAAAATAGTGTACTCTTCTCTACCTATTTAACATACAGGATATATTGTCTTAACTTAATGACTCAAAGCCATCATTTTAGTATTAATTTCTGTTCAAGTTTGTAATAAAATGCTGAGTTTAAGTTTACTAAGGTTTTATTAGCATCAGTTACTCTTAATACAAGATAATTCCAGATAATTATTTTTATTTATATATATATTTTATTTATACCTATTTATTTTATTTGTGTGTTTATATATAAGTATTTGTAAATAGCTATTATTTATTGTTTCTATTAATTTCTTCCTCTCCATATTTCATGCCTGAGTGTTGACTGTATACTTATGGCTGCAGATTAATATAGCAAGTAAACATTCTTTTTTACAGTTTTGTCTAAAATAACAATAAATGGATGATTAAAAAATTATGTAGTCTCCTTACATTAAAAAACCCTTAGTGTATAATTTTCTAATATTTATGATGTATGTTCAGAGGCCTTTTGCCTTATTTCTGGGTTCTTTATTGGGCAGCAAGGAGTTCAGATTGCTGTTACTGAGTGTAGGTTTAGAAACCACAGTATTGGGGACCAAGTGAGAAGAGGCAACAAGCAAAGCTCCCTGCTCCCTATAGCTGGACTGTCAATTCAGGGACTGCTCAGAGGTATTTCCTGAGAATGTGTGCACGCTGCAGTTGGGAGCACAATAGCCACAGTCTCAAATTCTGACTTACATCTGTTACAGGATCATTTTTTAAGGTCATATAGCCCTTAACTTCATTACTTTCATTCTCTCACAATTATCTCTTAAATCGCTTCCATTTTTTAAAAGTTTAAGAATATTGGTATTTACCTTAGAGTATATTCTGCCCTTTTCAGTACATAAGCAATTGTTCATTCACATTCATGCTTCCTGAAGAAAAATTTAGTCTAATGAAGAATTAAATTTTTGTGCAGTTATTATGCATGCATACCATGTATCAGTTTTTACCATCCAGTTCATTCCAGTTTCTGAAAACTCTTTTGAGTACATAGAGTTTGAATATTTAAGTGAATTCTTACTGATGCATTAGGTATAAGGGCAATTCAGAGCCCTTTTAGATGTCCTTTAATCACGGCTTCTGCTTTCTGTTTATTGGTGTTAGTTAATTTTTCTATCAGTATCTGTTAATATCAGATGGTCAATATTGTGTTGCACTTGAATGTATAGAAAGGATCTTTGAGAATTGGAACATGGTAAAAATTCTTTGTTCTAGCCAATGAGCATGCAATATATCTAAAGAAGTATAAAAATTACTTTCCTAGATTTTTTAATGTGCAAAACTGTATCAGTCAGATATGTGACTGTTATATGTCAATCCCTTTAGATGACTCTCTTTGTGTACTTTTCCCCCTGTTTTTGTGTGTTGCATTTCCTGTTGTATTCCAAGCATTTCATATCAGTGATCATGACTCTTTTTTCTTAGCTTCTCTCTCATCACCTACACCATGATTCTTGGTAGAACTTGGTATCATGCTCTGCATCCACAGAGGCATTCCTTAATTTGATCAGATAGCAACAAAATATTCCTGTGCTTCTTGATAGTAATAAAGGAGAAATGCCCAATGAGGGAAGAGGATCACCTATCAGGCAGGAAGCTTCAACCCTTAGACTGAGCCTAAGGAGAAGAAACAAGGAGAGAATCATTAGATAAAATGGGATTCTGAATAATTAGCTCTCTTCCTTCTCAACAGAGACCTTCCAGGCAGAATAATACTTTGTTCATCTTGATATCCACAGCTGCTGCCACTGTACTTGACAAATAATGCTCAATTATTTTCAGGTGGCAAAACGAATGAGCCTCCTTAATAGGAGGCTATGCTCCTCCTGTTCCCCCAAGCCTTCTTCTGTGGGACCTTGTTCACTATCTTTGATCTGTAGCAATCCAGAGGAGTCCCAGGTAGATATCTGTACCTCTATTTTAGAATACTTATTTTTACTAATTTTCTTGAAAGATAATAAATGCTTCCACTTTTTTTTTTCATGTACCAGTACCTGCTGAGCACCTGTTATATGCTAGCAATACAGAAGAACAAAACAATATCCAGGGATACCATATGCCAGATGCTGTGTGAAATGCCTTGTGTGTTATTTACATTATCTCACTGAATGCTTAAAAAGCCTGTGACGTGGATGCTAGCCCCAATTTGAAAGTGGCATTTCAGAGATTCAAAGCTTTATTTAATTCCTTAGGATCTCATAGTTAAGAAAGAAAATTGGGATCAAACCCAAATTTTAACTACAGATGAAGTTGTGCTCTTAATTACTAGGCTCTATTTCTAGACCACAAATAAAGAAACCAAAAGTATGTAAGTCAGAACCTGAGCTGTAAGAATAAGTCTGACAAATGTTAGACCTACCTCAGAATGTCTCACCAGCAGAGATTTGATTGAATCCTGTACATAATTCTTCACAATTCTGCAATTGTTCACCATCCACATTCATTTTCTTTTGTCCACCATCAATGCAGTAAAGACAGCACAACAATCTGCATCAGACTACTATGGACAATTCTGCCTTATTTTCTGACTAATTAATTTCTTTGTTCCTTCAAAGAATGGGTACTGAGAACCAGCTATGCCTTTGAGTAAGGTGTAGAAAATAAGACAGCCAGGAATCCTGCTGTCCTGGATGCTATGTATAGAAGTCAGGGAAGCAAAAAATGAACTTTAAAGATGATTCCAGTCAGTGATAACATTATGAAAACATGTGAAGGATCTGAGAGTGGGGTGGGAATGGGATGGCAAGGGATGCTGCCTTAGAATGGATAAAAGGGGATGCCTCACAGAAGAGGGGCTGTTGGAGCCTGGTGAAAAGTCATCCAGATAAATACACAAGGAAAACAAAGGACTTGTCAAAGAAACAAGAAAATGCAAATGCACAAAAGCATTAAGAAACATCATTCAGTTGAGTAACAGAAAAAAGTTTGTGTCTGTACCAGAGCTGGTGGGGGCAGAGGGAGCCAAGAAAGGAAGATGTAGAGAAAGGTAGAGTCCAGATGACATGGGTCTTTTGTGTTAGATCTTGTAGGGTATTGTCCAAACAGTCACAGATAAGAGTGGCAGGGATGCTCTTAACAAAGTCAAGCTAGAGTTTCCCAGGCACAGCAGGACTCAGTTACCCCACTATGTGTCAGTAAGGAGTTTGAATTTTATTCTGGTACAGTAATGAGCTCTTGATAGTCTGAAGCAGAAGAGTGACATAATTTGAGTTGCATTTCATATACTATCACTTTGACTACTATGTGAAGATGAACCTCTGGAATGGAAGATCAATCTCAGATGCTAGTAAAGTAATCCTAGCAAGAGGCTATAGTGGTTTTAATGGTTGTGATACAGCTGAAAAGAAAGTCACTGATTTATGATATAGTTTGTAAATAACATAGACAAGACCCACCCATGGGTTGGACGTAGGATTGAGGGAAAGAGCAGATTAACAGTGATTAATGGATTTTTGGCTCCAGCTTCCAGGTAAATTGTGATGACACTTGTTGACTATGGAAAGACCAACAGAGGGTCCAGTTTGGGAATCTGAGGGGGAATGGACAGAATCAGCAGTCTGGTTTTAACTGTGTTAAGTTTGAGATTCTTGTTGTAAGTGCAAGTGGAAATATCACTTTTTTCTTACTCCATTCAGAACTGCTTTCTTACAATGTTAATCTATATATCGCAATAAAAATTATTTAAAACAACAGTCCAATATTCAATTAGATCCATAGCCCTACATAATGGGTTAAAGCAATTTTCATTCGTCATTTCCATTTCATTTTGTTTTCCTTATTTGGTGTTTGAAGTTGCTAACATTGCTGATTGCCTTCCTAGGAAAGCATAGACCTGGGTGAAATCATGTTTTCCCTTTGTTATTTGCCCACCGCTGGTCGTATGACATTGACCGTGATCAAGTGCAGAAATCTGAAGGCAATGGATATCACCGGCTCATCAGGTATGTACACAGTTGACCAGAGGCCAGGGCACATTCCCAAATTAAATTTGCCATGTATCTAAAATTATATATGGCTATTGAATTATTTATAATGGGGTACAATGAAAGTATAAAATTACAAATTAAAATATTCTAAAACACCTCTTTTATATACAGTATCATTATGAACTTTTAGAAGTTATTTTCAAGTAGAATGACTTTGAACTTGAGTTCTTGTTTTCATTTCTTTCCCTACTGATTTTGTCCCATCTCAAAAATACATAACTTTTAATCTACTTCCCCAGTTTCAACTAGATTACCATATGCAGACATATTTGATTGAACTTATTGCCCTCACCTGCTCTTCAGAGAAACAACCACATTCCAAGACCATCATTTGCATTTGCATTCTTGCAACTTTTCCAATCAAAAATTTGGGCATCTGTAGGGACTGCAAGAAACAATAAGATAAATTAATGCTGTCTGAATTTTGTAAAGAAGTTCTTGAAAAAATTTCTCTTGTGCTGACTTTAATAAACAGGCAAAGCCACATAATGCTCTTTTATCCTTCACTTAATTCACTGAAGCTCTCAGGGGATAATTTCTAACATAATATGTGAAAATCGGCACAGATTTGTGGAAGAAAAACAATAAAGGATGAATGGGGATGTCAGTAAACATTTGATGAATTAAATAGAAATAAGAAATCATAGTGGAAATATAACAAAGGATGATATTAGAGAGGAGGTTCTATAACTTTGTAGTTCTTCAGAACAAAAACAAGCTAAATTCACATTACACAAAGTATAACATAACTCCAAGTTCTAGTGTGGGAAAAGCTCCAGGATCTACAAGGCACAAAAATAAATATGGAATTATGCTCACTTCTGTGCAAGGATGGAGAATTTAGAACATAAATTCATACTGCCAATATTTGCATAAAAATAAGGGACTGGTACATCAACAACAATGGTGAAAAGGGATGGGGACAGATGGGATTGTGATATTGCATGTCTCTCGATAACATCTTGATTTTTGAACATGAATTATCTATTCATTTTCTTTTTAATTTGCAAAAAATAGCATGTAGATAAAGGCAGAATAGAAAATATATTCCACATTTATTTGGGGGAAAAATTCTTGGGTCAATAAATATAGAAGAACTTAAGATAAACAGTGTACTCTGCAAATTATTGTTTACTCTTCTCTTTTTACCATGTATCAAAAGAGATCAAATTTTGAGACAAGCAAACAACATTAAAGTTGTAATTAAGTGCAAGATTACTTTTTTATTTATATGAAGTTTTCTTTGGAGGAGCCTGTACTTGGAGAGCACCACCTCATTAATCCTCACAACAGGCTTGTGAATCAACTATGGAGCCAGTAAATTATCCTTGTCAGAAGAGAAGAAATGCAGGCAAAGGCACAGTGGGGATAAAACTATGCAAAGGATAAACTATGCCTCTTTCCCATTGTTCATAGGCCTGAGGGCTCATCCTGTGTCACAGAAGCAAACTTCTTTCTTGGAACATGCTTCCTATTATTTGAGAAAAAAATCAAAATAAATGGGAAACAGACATTAACACTGCCCTGTTACCTTGTCATTACATACATTATTGCCAGCAGCAAAATAGCTTTTTTGTTCCTTGAGGAAAATGCTTTTGAGCTATTTCAATATATTTTTCTAGAGTTTAAAAAGCACATCCTGCTCAGTAAATTAATATTTCCAACATCAGTTTGTCTTATTCTAAAGAAATAATACTTATTACTCTAGAGATAGAGAATAGAGATGATGGAACTATCACTGTACAGTAGCCAAAAAGAGAGAGCGTGCAGCTGTGATTGTTTTACCTGTCCAGCATGCTCACCCTAACACCAGTACTGCTCTCAAAGCCATGAGGCTTCTTAGAAATGCTGTAAAATGTGTAATTTTCTATAATCACATAACGTTTTTTTTTTTTTAAAAAAAACTTAAGATGGTAAGGGTAAGAGAATAGGGATGAAGTTATCTGTGGAAAAACTAGTTCACAATTATTTGTTCCATTAGGCCCATAACAATATAGTAACCTAAAATTTTCTCTTTCAAATAAACCCCACATAAACAATGTCCTATCAGAGCCTTCCTGTGACCACCTTAGAATAAATAGTGCTTTTTATTATATACCATGATGTAGCTACTAAATCACCTTAGTGATCACTTCTTCAATCCAAATTTATCAAGCAACAACACTATGATTAAAATGACTCTTCTAATTTTACCACCTTAACTAGCCATTGATCAAAATTCTAAGTATAATTTAGTTTTTCCTTTCTAATTTCTACTTATGGTAATTTCATATACTTGTCCAGATACAGTGCTGCTAGTCTTTCACAGGTCTTAGTTTTTTTTATTCTAAATCATTCTGAGGTGAAGAAATCTAAATACCCTTATTCTTATTTGTTTGGTTTACATCCTATAAATCACTTCTAAAAATATGTGCCCTAAAAGAGCAGTAGTCAAAAGACACATTAGAATTCTGAACTAGCTCTTGATAAACTACTGTGTTTTCTCTCCTGTATTAAAAATAATGAGGTCAAATTAGTTCTTTTTAGTTTATTCATTATAAATTGCTTACCTTTAAAATAAGAAATCTTAGAGAATCTATTGAATCTATTCAATCTATTTGAACTTTAAACTAGTAAAAGGCTTGACAAACCACTTATTTAGTAAAAAGGAATTACAGTTCTATTTATACTTGATATGAATACTTTCATTTTATTAAAATTACCTTCCTACTCCTAGATCCATATGTCAAAGTATCACTGATGTGTGAGGGTCGAAGACTGAAAAAGAGAAAAACAACTACAAAGAAAAACACTCTAAACCCTGTGTACAATGAGGCTATTATTTTTGACATCCCTCCGGAGAACGTGGACCAGGTCAGCCTCTCCATTGCAGTCATGGATTATGATAGGTACGTGAACCCTCCACTCAATACAGAATAGCCACAACCAGTGCAATACTGGTCTAATTCAGTTTTTCAGGTTATTTTCTGCTATAACAGTGTTAATTTAAGTTGGAAAAGGAATAATTATTCATTTGAAATTCCTTGTTTCTTACGTTATAGTTGTGGGAGGTTTTCCCCTGTAAAGAACTCATCCTTAAAGTTCACCTAAGGCTAGAGAGAGAACGGGTCTAGATATAGTATGTATGGAACACTTTATAGACAGCACTACTTCAAAGTCATTCTATAGTAATAACAGAGTCCACTTCAATAGCTTGTGTTACTAATGGGACTAGAATGTGAGTATCGTGATGCTCAGTGGAGCTGGATCTTAACTAGCTGTGTGAAAGGGTTCATTATGTCATCCCAGTAGGATTTAGTTTGCCCATTTGTGGAACTTCGGCATGAACCATGAACCATGGAAAGTGAATACTGGTCATTGGGAAACAGGTTCCATATGTTCACATCTATCTTAAAACATTACTTCATTGACAGCTCCCCCAGCTCACACACATAGAGTCATCTCTTTCACAAAATAAACTGTATCGGGACAGTTTTGAAGGTTCTTCCTGCTGCAGCTCCTGCCTTCGCCCTTCCACTCTTCCCTTAGTCTGAGATGTCCCTCATAGTGTGTACCTTGTTCCAACCACGCTTCATAGCCCAGCTCATGTTAGCACCCTGGAAGTCTTTCTCAGCCGACAAAACTTCTTCCTCTGAACTCTCGTTCCACTAAAGGCTCATTCTCTCATTTGACCCTTCCTGCATACATCTTTGGGTTGTTTTGCTTTTTATAAGATTTTTGGAAAGGGATGCTGTACGATTTAAACTACAAAACTTTCAGCATGAAATACATTTATTTATAAGCCCTAATACATTTATTGTGTTTTAAGGATGACATGGTAGTACAGGACATATACAAACACACAAAAAGAATGTCTTTTTTATAGTATTATGAAAATGATGGTAAACAGGACCCTAAAAATACATCAAATATAAGTAGGTAAATTAATGTGCCATCCTCTGGCTCAGAGCTACAAAAAAAAAGGCACTGAAAAATAGTATTATTTGTACCATCTATTTGAATCCGTATCAAAGGAGAAAACTGTGGTAACTTAGAAATTAAAACTAGTTCAAATTTCAAATTCTAAACTGTAAATGTTTTCCTCAGCAGCCCCATTTTGTTTTATCCTTACCTCCATTGACTTCTGACAGCAATGAGTGCAAGTAGATACACTTGAACATTTGTCACCCACACCTTTAAATGATCCTTATAATATATAAACAGGAAAATAAAAAAATATTTCTGAAATATACTTGTTCGGGAAACTTCATATTAAAGGATATCAACGTGAAACAAATCATACTAAATATCCAGATCTACATTAGTGACAGAAAGAGAGTAATGAAATATTCTAAACCATTGAAAAGTCTCTTCAGAGATATATGTAAAAATAACCATATGGAATACCTTTTAAATCATATTCTGTTCTCAAGAAGAAACTTACCACATGTATTCTTGAATCAAATGCCCAGATTCAGCTCCTGCTTCTGCCTCCTACAAAGTGTGTAAGCTCACACCAGCTCCCAACCTTCTGGACATTTAGATTATCTGTAAAATAGAATAATAATGTTATTTGTAGTCATGGGGTGGGAGTTAAGTGGGTCAGAACATTTAAATTACTTATAACACTGTCTGGTACATAATAAACTTTCAAAAATGTTAAATATTATTATTTTTTATTTGTTCCTGTGAAAGCAGGGCATGAATAAAAACTAGGAATGTCATCTAGTGTGCTCTCTGTTGTGCAATAACAATCAAATGTAATGGAACTGAACACAACCCTGCTCTGTTTATTTGTAGTACAAGCAATAATATACACTGATATATCATTCAGAATCAATTAAATATGGTCTTTTATGCAAGAAAATGAATACCGTACCTATGGTGTAAAACCTAAATGTCATTATAAAGACAGTAAGCCTTGTAAAAAGAACAGGGTTTGATTTACATCACTTAAACTTAATAGGACTGCTTCTGAAAAAGCAATGTTTCATACATGTAAGGAACTAGTGGCATTGCCATTCACACTATTGTTATTATTGTGAAATGTGCTCAAATTGAAGAGCTTAAAATGATTTGTGAGTGCTTCTTATCCAAATTCATTTTCTTAAATGTTCATATCATTTAGTTAATTGCTTAGTAAATTTTTGTTTGCTTAAAATTTTTCATTTGATTAGAAGTGGTATATAGTAGTCCCCATTATCTGTGAGGAATATTTTACAGTATGTTCCACAGATTGCTGAAACCAATGGTAATACTAAACCTGATACATACTATATATACTGTGTTTTCCTATACATACACACAGATGATAGTTTAATTTATAAATTAGGTACAGTATAAGCGAATAAGAGCAACTAATGATAAAATAGAGCAATTATAACAATGTACTATTTTAGAAGTTATTTTTTTTCTGGAATTGTCCATCTAGTATTTTCAGAGCACAGTTGTCCATGGGTAACTAAAATGACAGAAAGTGAAACTGCAAATAAGGGGACTACTATAATTTGCAAAATGACAGCATCTAGTTACTGTTATGTTTACCATTCATTTAAGATGTGTGAGATTCCATTACCTTTGAAAGTTGGAAATGAAAGTATAATATTCCACAAATCATAGGGTGGGACACAACGAGGTCATAGGAGTGTGTAGAACAGGACTGGACGCTGAGGGTCTTGGGAGAGACCACTGGAATGAAATGCTGGCTTATCACCGTAAACCAATAACACACTGGCACCCCTTGCTGGAGGTAAGCTTGTGATCACCTGACTTTTGCTCTTATCTTTTCAGTTTAAATATTATTTATTTGCTAACCCATACCTGACATTTTAATATATTCACCTTTTAAAAAGATTCCTCTTGCTTTTCTCCCACAGTCTCTAACATTTAGTATTCAAAATTCTGTGTGTCATGTGGGATCATAGAAACCACTAGACTTTCTGGGCTTCATAATTGATAAGCCCATAAGCACTGCAAGTCTGTCATTTTCTCACAGCCTGAAAATTCACATCAGTGAGCAGTGGAGCAATCTAGTATGTTTATTACTGAGTGGACACTGTATTTTGGTGAACAGAGCTACCTTTCCCCAAGTCCCCTTCCATTTAAGAATCCTTAAATAGACGTAATATCATCTGTGAAAAGGGTTAGGGATATCTCCCCCAGCTCTCGTCAGGAAGACCTCACAGATTTTAAAAATATCAAGGCACAAGCTTTAATGGATGATTATTTATTGTGGAACCTAGGACAAGTGCCTTGAACCTCTGAGTTTTTTCTATGGTTCTGTAATGGTAATCAACTCAGCGAAAGTAAATACTGAATACAAAGTGCTAGCAGACTATTAGCTCCTATGAGAACTACTGGTAATACTTACATTAATCCATTTTTGTTGGGATTTCTAGCCATGAAATAGTTTTCAGTCTACTTGATACAGTGAATGTTGCTAGGGAGAATGACTTTCTTTCTTGTGAGCCTCCTGAAGAGTTACAAAGTAAATCATTTATAGGATTGAGAGGTAATGCAAGTTCAAAAAGGATGTCTAGTAGGTGAAGGATTTCTGCATTCAATTAAAAAAATCATCATAATAGCCACATAGTATATGAATGATATATCTGTCATCTCCCCATGGATAAGATTCTGTTTCTTGTTTTCACACTAGACACTGGGGTAAGAGAACAAGAGAGGTTGTACACTGTTATTGATTAAATATATCAATGGGACCAGGTTCTAATCTCAGTTTAGTCACAAAAATGTGACCTTGGCTGTGTTATATAAAACACTATAGGGTAAATTACATAAACACTGCATGCTCAGATGATAGAGGAGAACTGTCATCACAGATATGTTTATATATATATAAATGTTTAGAGTCTTTACCTAACTTCATAATTTAATGTAAATCATAAAAGACAAATGCACAGAGAGAACCCCAGTCACATGCAATTTTCCAACTGGAAGGTTTCAGAAGTAGATACAGATGCATTCTCTGAATAGCTTGTCTTAGGTTGTATTTCCTTTCAGTGGTAGCTACTGTCTGAAGTCTCTTCTGATTATTGTAGAATTACTGTCCATTCCCTGCTTCTAATCTTGCTTTTTTTTTTTTTAAAGTTTGAACAGTGAACATCAGTTCTAAGAATCTAGAAAGGAAAGCACTCACCTGCCTAGCGCAGTGCTTCTGCTCTCTGACTGCCCCCATAAAAATCACCTCCTGCCTTAGAGCAAGTGAAACACAGGCTTTTGTGTCTAGAACTTCTTATTGCTCTTACGCAGCAATTACTGTCACTATAGTAAATCATTATTTTATAAAAAGAACTAAAAGCTTGTCACAAAACGTGAAATTATTCTGCACTCATAAATAGTTGCTGTTCAGTGCTGCTTCAGGTCCCATCTAAATGGCAAGCTCTGTGTACATCTCTTTGAAATGTTTGTTTCCCCTCATTTGACCTGAAAAGATGAGTTCTGAAGGATAGGAGAGCGCCTACAGCTTCTCTTCAGAGGCTTGCATGTCATGGGTAAACATTTCCTATTAAAAGGAAGCATCAGCCAGGTACAGTGGATTGGGAGGCTGAGGCAGTAGGACAGCAAGTTTAAAGCTAGTCTCAGCAGAAGCAAGGCTCTAAGCAACTGAGTGCAACCCTGTCTCTAAATAAAATATAAAAAACAAAGGGCTGGGGATATGGCTCGTGGTCCAGTGCCCCTGAGTTCAATCCCCAGTACCCTCCTCCCCAAAAAGAGAAGCACCAATTACCCATTGTATTTTTTCTGCATGAGGTCAAATAAAATTACTGTTTTTCAGCTACCTGGCCGGGCAACCAGTTTTGATAGTCAAGGATCCTGCTCTTCTCCCAAACCACCTTCCACACCATAATGCCTCCAAAATAAGACCCTTATGATAAGGACCTAAGATGATGTGCTTATTGGATCAGAAAAAAAAGTGGAAGGTTTGATTGATTTCCTCATTTAAGATATATCCATGTTAATGAGCAAACTTGATGTGTACTTTTTTTCATTTACTTCTTTTCTGTTTTATAACTTTGAACATCTTAATACGTTTTACTTGAAAACAAATAGTCCTTAGTTAAATAAGGCATTTTATCCTTCATGTTATATGCCTATTAGCACAAAGAGTGTTTTGATATGTTGTAATCTTTGCATAAGCAAAGAAATACGTTTTTAAAAATGAATCCTCATGTATCTAAAATTAAACATAGTTCATACTGCTGTTGTATAAAGTAGTACATGTCTCATAAATGTGGTTTTGATTTTGTTCAACTGTGTTCCTTTCATGTGTACATGATTCCATATAACTTTTAAATGGACATTTTTAAACTTAATGTACCCAGCATTAAGTTCTTGCACATTCAGAATAGTATCACTTATTAGAAAATAGTTTTTTCTTTCATTCTCAGCAAATTACTTGTTGAAGTTTGGTTCTGCCGAACTGAAAACTTTGTAGCTCAAGCTTGTTCTTTAAAACATACAGATAAAGCTGTAAATTTAAAGAATCATTTTGAATATAAACTCAAGAAATGATATTTAGTAGCTGGAAAGTGGAGGTTGAGCCTTTTTGGCTACCATTTTATAATGTCTTACTGTCACATTAGTTCAAAGATCTGTTGCACTGTTGAACTGATACTTTTAAAATTCTAATAAACTTAATCTCAACTGTAGCATTGGTATTCCTAAGTGAATAGCATCAGTTCATTTTTCAAGCATTTGTAAGATTTCAAGTACTGTGACATGTATTTCTTGTATGTGACATGAAGTTATTATGTATATCCAGTATTTCTGATAGATCACACTAATAGACACCAAAGGTTCAACAAACTGTCTGTGCTCATTGTCATTTAGATTATATGCAGTAATGGTGACTCTTAAACCCAATCAGAAGCTCATCATCGGAATTGGGTATTTTCTTAAACAAAGCATGACTTATTTCTCAGCAAACTATAGAAAAATACCATAGAGTGTAACTTCAACATGTAGTAAAACAAAAAATTTATTCTAAAGGCCCAGACCTCCAGTCCTTTTATGAAAGGCATTACCTTCACAAAGATTAAGGACAGGCCACTAGATGAAAAAACTATGCAAATACTTTTACAGGACAGAAATTTCCTTTTCATCAGGTCAACTTTTTTTTTTTTTTTTTGTCTCATTTCCAGGCCCCACTTAGAAGGTAGTGAATTATCCCAACCTTACTTTTGAGATGTGGTGCACTACACATAATGCATATTTCAAGTTTATCCAAAATAGAGGTTAAAAATAAAAGCAAGAAAAATTATGCTTGCAATACAAAAACAAATTCATCAGGATGAGAAAATTTATTTTCATAAAATACCTTATATAAATATTTAAAAAAAACATAAAATTTTACAAGCCTTGAAATTTTGTTTGCTGGCTTCTTATAAGTTGGAATTATGGTCAATTAAGCTGTAAATATTTTTCAAATTCACATTTTAAAGAAAAATACAGTCTGCCTAAAATTTTTCAAAACTGCCTATGTCATCCTAACAAATAAAAAAACAAGAATTCCTACTTAATATTTTTTCATTGAAGAAAATAGAAAAATCTATTTCAAAATACTTGGCTACCTTATCAGGCCTAAAAGAACCACTTATAGTCAGAATGACTGAAGAATGACATCTGAATTTTGGAACTCTTTTACTGAGAAATAGAAATTATCCAATGGAGGATGTACTTTTAATATACTGACATTTTTGTAGACAATTATTTTGTTAGAAGATATACTTATAGCCTATAGAATATTAGCAGTCATATTTCCTTTGTGAGTGTGATATGTATTTTCACCCAAAAACATATTTTAAGGACTTCTTAATTCTTGAAAGCTTGTACTTTTCTTTGTTCCCTAAGGAGAAAAAGCCAATGCTTATGATGAAATAAATGTGAACTATCAGCTAATCAGGAGACTTTAATATGAGGGTTATAGATTAAAATAAGTTTTTAAAGAAATTTTTTTTAAAAAATTAAAACCTTTTTTCCCTAGGGATTAGAATAAACTCATAATGCCAGAGTACTTTGTTAACCCTATGGAAGACACTGAGGGAAAGAAATTCACAACTCTGCTTTCATGTCAGATGTAAGGGATGCTCACCACAAATTGATAGAGAAAAAGGAGAGTTAGGGTTCTGAAAATGTAATCTTACCACATTTAGGACAACAAACCCTATCCTCCATATCCATACACACCTAACTTATCTTCTTTCAGCTTTGATTTAAGAATGAAATACTTTTAGTTTCAGTATTTGAAATAAAGTTTGATGTTAGAAATATCCTCCACTAATTTGTGCAGGATAAACTTTACTGTTAGTATTGACACATTATGAAGTTGTACTTTACATATATATCAACTACCTAATTTCAGGGACTTATTCAGGGATTTACCAAAATATGAGTCTAGGAAAAAGGTCAAGTATTGACTCATTAGCATAACATGCCAATGTCCTTTTTAGTTATTTGGGTTTTGTTTTTGTTTTTACCTGATTCATCAACAACCAATCAGGGGAAACAGTAGAATGAATAAGAAAAAAATATCAAAGTTTGTAAAGTATATGTTTTTTTCCCCATAAAACTGAAGAATTGATTCCTTTTCCTCACTAGTTTTCTAATAATATTTTGCTTGGCAGTTTTAATTTTCTAAACCAGGCCATCCCTGTGTCTGGACTTTATTTTATGTGTATTAATGCATCACAGTTCAGCAACATTAGGACTAGTGCCAGGGTGGAATGGGGATGCAGAGCCAAGCACTCACCTTCTTGTGCAGTCTTGAGGAGTGTGTGCACGTTCTAGTTACTGCAGGGAGATCACAACTGATCAATACTGACTCAGGTTTTATATTACAGCAAATATATTTGGACCTATTTGGTTGTGGTATTTAATTGACATTTACAGCTATGTTTATTCTCCTATAATGTTTATTATTTTAAAACTTTGCAGCTCAATAAAGAGCTACCAATCTCTTATAGTTTTCATTTGATGATTAATTACTTAAAAAATGAAACAATCGGACTTGCAGCCCTACCCATTAAAAAAAGGTAACTTATTTCAGAACAAGTGCCCAAAAGAATCAAAGACAAAGGGACACATCTCAATACTGAACACATAGCAATTTCTTTACCTTTTCAAAAAGGCTGCTTGCTATTATTTAAGAATGTACATTTTCATAGAATGGAGTTGGTTAGTTTTGTTGTTTGTTTTTGTTTCTTTGCCACATAAGTTGTAACTATACCCAGGTAACTCAATTACCTGATAATTTAAAAAGAAAAATGGGGTTGATGAGAATTAAAGAAAGTCATTCAATCTCTTAAACTAAATTTGAAGAAAACATGGAGATCTGTTTCTTTTTCATCTTGTTCTTCTAGCAGCTCCCTTTGCTCTGTGATACTCTAATTGATCTTGACCTTTATAATCTGTAGGCTAAAATGTACTGCTGTCAAGGAGAAATGAGTCAAAAGACCTGGAAGTATATAATAAAGTAGGCATCTACATAATTAAATGAGAGGTAAGCAAAGATCTTTAAGCCTATGGAAATAAAGATATTAAGATATATAAAACACTCCTTTGTATTTTAACTTTAGTGGACAGAAAAAAATTCCATGACACAGCATTTAATAGTTACTCAGTGACATGGCTCAGGATATGATTCATCTGAACCTGCTGTAAGGATCTATTATTTAAAAGAAAATGATGAGTTTATGTTTTTCATAGGAAACAGGGATAACTAAAAAAAATGCTGTTTCCAATATGTTATTCAGTGTTACCCTTTTAGGTAAGAATTTTCTCTCATTAAGACACTTCTGTATTTATTCAGTATTCTGTTGATTAAAATAAATTGTAATTGAATAAAAGATGTATTGATCATTAATTACTTGTCATCTGTCATTAATAGTAAACCAAAAAGATGTGTATTTGAACAGTGGCATTTAACATTTGGCTAAAGTATATTCTCTTCAAAGTAAATGCTCATTTTTACCATGTTCATTATGAAACAAGAAACCAAAATTTGATTTGGTAGCCTGACAACATCAGGCTACAGAGACTCAGAGTAAGACCGCACTAAATTAAGGGCTGAGGTGGGATTTAATGATTTATTTAATTCAAACACTTTGAATAGCACAAACAGTGATTGAAAAATAAATAGATGTTTAAGAAAGAAAAAAGAGGCTTCTCATGCCTGAGATGATTTGAATATACTCCTGCCAGGAATAATTGATTAAATCAATTCTGTTTTACCTATACTAACACCAGAAAGGGTTTGTTATTTATAGATACATTTTATTTGGAAATATTTCAATCTCAAACCCAAAATAATTTCTTCTATAAACTCACCTAGACCATAAGAACCCTCCTCAAAGATTTGAACTATGCCTGACCTTATTACCAGAGTGTAAAAATAGGTCATTTCTTCTGAAATTTTGCTGAGTTGCACCTGCTGTGCACAGAGTTTATTTACTGTACAAGATGGTGAGTTTTGCTCAATTTCATGTGTTTTTGTTCCCTCAAAAACAAATTATTGAATATTAGTGTATATCATTTTGAATCCAAAATTGTCCTGTAAGCCTCAAGATTGGAAGGTTAAAACATTAGGTATCTTTGTCACCTTTCTAAATTGTTTTGTATTCACCCCATCTGAATAACATTATAGAGACTGTTATTTGGCTATGATTTTGCTTTAACATAAAGTTGTGGACTCCAAAATAACTATGATCTCTAAGATCATGTACAAACTGGTCAAATAATCATTCTCTATTGCAGACTTCATATTTTATCCTAATTATATTTATGTAGATCATCTTAATGGGTTCATTATAATTTCTATTGTTTTCTTTTAAAATATTCTTTAAGCTTTCCATTTAAAGAACACAGTAGTCTCCAGTGTGAAGAGCTTCACAAACTCTATTACTGAATAAATAAAAAGCAGGTAGAACAACTCTAATATATAAAATATTTTCATTTATACCTTGTTTGATAAACAAAAAGTCCAACACCCAAGTTGGTATCATTGGCATAAGCTTATTATCAATGTCTCCAACTAAGAGCAGTGATTGACTTTATCTGCAAATGCAGATAAATTACAGACTGCAATTAAGTGAAACCATAATTTCAGAATGAAGAATAAAGAAGTCAAAATAGAAAGGAACTGCCTCATGTTGTACTTGGAATGACTCCACTCATCCCTCTTCCCCCAAAATGGATATTTATCAATTATTCTATACTGGCAGGAACTACTACAATTCATTTCACACATCAAATAATTTAGATCCAACATATCTGATCTTTCTTTATATTCTTCAGTCATTGTTCATAAGTGACTTTTTAACTGAAGTTTGTGGTTTAATACTTAGCCATTGTTCAAATCAGTATCTTTGACTTCCATAGTATAGAACAAAAATTTTAAAATCTTTTGAAATTCATGTTT